TTTTGTGTAGGTTTTTATTTATTTCGGATTTTTTATTTTTGGGTGAACCGGACGGTTTGCTTTGTTTGAACCGAGTTCTGGGTTTGGGATTTGGGGAGGGACGGACCAGATGAAATCATTTTTAATTTCTTTTTCTCTTTTTTTTTCTTCTTTCTAGATTTCGTTTGATAATGTTGTTTATAATACTTTTTGTATATATTTATAGCACTCTTTTTAATTTATATATTTAGTAAATTATTTATCTTTATTTTTTTTAAGGAATATAAAAACCAACTTATTTAAAATTAATAGAATTGTTAAATGATTTAATAAGATTCTTAAATTTTTTCTATACATTATATATTAAATTATTAATTAATTTAATTTTAAATAATATTGTGTCTAATTAAGTAATTTTACAATAAGTAATTTTTGAAATATAATTACTAAACATTAAAATGTTCTTTCATGACAATATAACATAATATTTTTAACAATTACAATTATAGAGTAGTACATGACAACATTGTCAAATTAAGCATTCATTTTTGTTTTTTGCTTAGTTTTCTAAAATTGGGGATGAAACCCAACTAATGTAAGATACATCATGTGATGCGGTGTGACGAGCTATGGCGTAAAAGTATTAACAAGATGTTAAGAAGATGAAGTTTTAATAAACATGAGTAGATAATAGAAAGAAACACCGTTCTATATTTTAAATTATATTAAATTATAAAATAAAAATTATTAAATAAAAAAGAGAGGTTTAGTATTAAGAGACTAATATAATACAGTTTAATATAATTTAAATTGTATTATTATTTTTTAATGATAAAATGTTAGATATAATTTTTATTTAGCATTTTAATTTTTGAGTGCTTAGGGCAGTTTGCTTTGAACGAACCGGTTTATGGTTTGGATTTGGGATTTGGGATTTAGGGATTTTGACTTCTTTGGATTGGGTCTAGGGTTTGTGACCACTTTATCCGTTCAGTGATTTTGTTGTGAGCAGAAGATATTGAATGAGAAAAAGACACGTCAGATCAGAAACAATTGGGTTGGGCCCCACAAATGGGTAATTTATCCCGGGCTCATTATCCACAAGTGATTGAATTAAGGCTTTTTGATGGATCGGTTAGCCCAATATTCAAAGGCAATATATTAATGCATTTTCCGATAAAATTAATTTTATTAAAATTTTGATAGGAAACAAACGAAGTTGTACATAATAAAATTTTAAATTCAAAGTGCACTTATAAATGTAGACTTATGCTCCTACAGTAGTTGTGTTCTGACTGTCATCATTTGATTTAATCAATTAGTTTTAATTTCTTTAATTTATGCTTTGTTTTTTTTTTTTTTTTTGAACTGCATATTGAAGAGTAA